TTTCTGTATGTAACAAAAACACAGCAATTATTTCATATTTCATTTCTGGGGAGAAAAAGCAGGATGAGAGCTCAGTCTGCTCCTGGCTGGTTGGTTATGGGCAAGAGTGAGCCTGGCATTCCTCACCTCCCTGCAAGGCAGTGGGATGCCAGGTGAGAGCCTGCTCTGTTCCTGACCCTGTGGCCAATGCAGGTGCCCCCTCTCTTCTCTGCAGTCCTCCTACTTCGGGGAGATCAGCATCGGGACCCCTCCCCAAAAGTTCTTGGTGCTCTTTGACACCGGCTCCTCCAACTTTTGGGTGCCCTCCATCGACTGCAAGAGTCCAGCCTGCTGTGAGTACCCCTGGTGTGCTGGGAGTTGAGCTACTACTACTGCCTGTAGTAGCAGTTAATAGTAGCTACTACCCTGGGGCACTGCATAGCCCAGTTGTGTCAGGGACAACACAGTGCCAGACCAGAAATGATCCCAGGATTCTGATCTGGGATAGCTGCTCCCTGGTGCTGGTTGATGCCTTCCCTGGGAAGCACAGAGCCCTCTGCCTGGCTAACGAAGGTGGACAAATCCCTACGGCCATCCCAGAAATCTCAGTGGTGGTGCCTGACCTTCCGTAGCCGGGCAGAGGGAAGAGCAAAGCCAGGACTAGTGGAGCTGATGTCCTGCTCCCAGCACAGCTCACCCCATGGAACACTCTGCCAGTGGGAGAGCGACGGGGATTTCACTGCCAATGGCTTTGCTGGGTGGCTGCTGTGGTTGTGATCCCTGGAGAGGGATCCAGGCAAAACTGGGATGCAAACCCTGCCTGAGAGAGTCCCACAAGGCAGAGGAACAGCCTGTTCTGCCCTTCAGGACTTGCTCCCTGCCGGGGAAGCTGCTTTCCCGGGCGTTGTCCCAACGGAGTGACTGGCAGTGAAATCCCACCGCAGCCAGACGAGCACATGCCCAGGATTTCCCCTCCTCTCTCTCCCAGTCAATCACGCCAAGTTCAAGCCCAGTGAGTCCAACACCTTCACCCCCAATGGCCGGTCCCTCACCGTGACCTACGGCAGCGGCTCCGTCACCGTCGTGCTGGGCTCCGACACACTCAGGGTGAGGGACCCCGGCCTTGTCCTGTCCCAGCTGGGTGTCCCGATGGAAGGAGCCCCAGGACAGCCCAAGAGCAGATTTTATGTAGCCAACACTTGGGCAAAGTGTGGGTGCAAAGTGGTTATTGCCACCCTCAGTCACCCAGCTGGGCTTCGACTGTGTTTTAACCCAATTCCTGCTGATTTTCCCTGCTGCCTGGTGCTGTTCTCACCAGCTGTTAATCTGCAGTGCTCTTGGGCTTCCAGAGCACCATCCACCCCTCCCAAGGCTGCTCAGGTTTGCCTTGCTGACCTGGCCTCCCCTTCCCCTCCAGATCCAGAACATCACCGTCACAAACCAGGATTTCGGGCTCAGCCAGGAAGAGCCAACCCAGCCTTTCTACTTTGCCGATTTTGACGGAATCCTGGGAATGGCCTTCCCCTCCCTGGCAGTGGGAGGGATGCCCACGGCCGTGCAGGGAATGCTGCAGCAGGACCAGCTCGCCGAGCCCATCTTCAGCTTCTACTTCTCACGGTAAAAACCCGCCGGGACGCTCGGCACTGTGTCCCCCACACTGTGTCCCCTACACTGTGTCCCCTGCACTGTGTCCCCTGCACTGTGTCCCCCACACTGTGTCCCCCGCACTGTGTCCCCCACACTGTGTCCCCCACACTGTGTCCCCCACACTGTGTCCCCTGCACTGTGTCCCCCGCACTGTGTCCCCCGCACTGTGTCCCCCGCACTGTGTCCCCTGCACTGTGTCCCCTGCCTGTCCCCAGGAGTGTTCCTTCTGGGTTTATCCCTCTCTAGCCCATGTACATCACACTGAGCTCTGTACATCCTGATCTCTGCTGCTGTGTCTCTGATTTTGCAGCCAACCCACCTACCAGTACGGGGGAGAGCTGGTTCTCGGGGGGATCGACCCTCGGCTCTTCCACGGGGCCATCACGTGGGCACCGGTGACCCAGGAGCTCTACTGGCAGGTCACAGTTGAGGAGTGAGTGGTGTTTGTGCCTCTGGGCATCATCCCCTGGGCAGCTCATGGAAGGAGGGGGCACAGCTGTCCCCCAGGTGCAGCTGCACTCTCCAGCAGGCACAGGCTCCAGGCTGGATGCATTTCAGAGCACCCCAGAGTGACAGATCAAGCCAAGGCATGTTTAGGTGCCTGCGGGTGCCTCAAGCGATGTCATTCCCACTGTTCTCCTCCCAGGTTTGCTGTTGGGCAGTCAGTGACAGGCTGCTGCAGCCAGGGCTGCCAGGCCATCGTGGACACGGGGACGTTCCTCCTGACTGTGCCCCAGGAGTACATCGAGAGCATCCTCCAGGCCCTGGGTGCCCAGGAGACCAGCTATGGAGTGAGTGCAGGCATTCTGGGGAGGGTGTGGAGCAGTGGGAGCCTTGCATGGGAGTCAGAGCTGTGGGCTCAACCAGGTCCCACAAAACCTATGTGGCACCTGCAGAACATGGTACTGCAGGTGTGTCAGGGGGGATGAAGTCACATCCTTCCCTGAAGTCTTTTCAGGCTGGGAAAGTTGGGGCTATTCAGCCTGGAGAACAGAAGGTTGTGTGGAGACCTCACAGCCTCTTCCCTTCAGTATCTGAAAGGACTTCAAGGAAGCAAGAAAGGGACTCTGCATCAGGAACTGTAGTGACAGGACAAGGGGAAATTGGTTCAAACTGAAAGAGAATATGTTTAGGTGGGATATTAGGAAGAATTTGTTCCCTGAGAGGTTGTAAGACACTGGCACAAGTTTCCCAGAGAAGGTGTGGCTGCCTCATCCCTGAAAGTGTTCAGGGTCAGGCTGGATGGAGTTTGGAGCAACCTGGGCTAGGGGAAGGTGTCCCTGCCCGTGGCAGGGGGTGGAACTGGATGAACTTTAACGTCTCTTCCAACCCAAACTACTCTGTGATTCCATGATGTGGCACTGCCATGGGATGAAGTTTGTGTCCCCCTGGCATATGAGGGTATCTCTCCCCTCACTGTGGGTGCTGTCCCACCCACTATCTCCTCTTCTCCCTCTCTCCACAGTATGCAGTGGACTGCGAGGAGATCGAGAACATGCCCCCCATCACCTTCACCATCAGTGGTGCTCAGCTCCCGCTCTACCCCTCCTCCTACGTCCTGAACGTGCGTACCAGCTGAGGGGCTCCTCCTGCTGAGTCCCAGAGGGCCTGGGGAGGACCCGGAGCTCCTTGGCCAGCAGTGATGTCCCTGGAGCTCCTTGGCCAGCAGTGATGTCCCTGGAGCTCCTTGGCCAGCAGTGATGTCCCTGGAGCTCCTTGGCCAGCAGTGATGTTCTCCCTCCCTGCAGTGCAGCTGGAGGGTGCCGGTGCCTGTTTGACTCCCTGTTGTTCCCCTCTTACAGACCAATGGCTACTGCACCCTTGGGATCGAGGTCACCTACCTGCCCTCCCAGGACACGCAGCCGCTCTGGATCCTGGGTGACGTCTTCCTCAAGGAGTATTACACCATCTTTGACACAGCTTACAGCCGGGTCGGCTTCGCCCGCTCGGCGTAGAGCAGTGGGGCAGCACCACCCGTCCCCTCTCCTGGCCCAGCACTGCCCGAGTGCCACGGCATTCCCAGGGACCTCTAATGTTCCTTTACTTGCCCACATGACTCCCCATCCCTCGGGATTCCCGTGTGAGGGTCTCCTCACGGTGTCTCCTGTAACAAATAAACCACAACATCCCAAATCACCTCTGACCTCCCGGGTTTGTTGAGCGATGGCCGAGCACAAACTGATGGGTTACAGGTCTCAGACTCCCTTTCTCCAGCAAGGTAAGTGCTGTGACAAACTCCAGGGCTGAGGACAAAGCCACAGGGCTGGTCAGTCCCCACCTCCAACCCTCATCCTGGGCACCGGGAAAACTCATGTGGGAAGCCCCTGACCTTCCTTGCAGCTGGAAAAGGTTTACCAAAGTCCTGTGCTTTAAGTCCAAGTTGGAATGTGAGGTGAGTCATGACACCCAAATGACCCCTAACCCCTGAAGCAGGGCTATTCACTCAGGTAAAACTGCACCAGAACTGTGGTGTGGCCGAAGGGGATGGGAAACCCCTTGGGCGGGGGAGGTTGGGTAACCCTGCTCCTTCCTGGGATCCAGACTCGTTTTGTAGGAGCTCTTTCTCGTTATCAGATGTATTCACAGCTCTGTCATTTAACGGGGGAAGGACACAAACTGCTCTGTGCTTTGTGTCAAAATATTGACACAGGCTGAGTGCAGGGAGAGGAGATTAAGTGGGCGCGGGCAGCAGGGAAGGGCTTCCCTCCTCCCCATGGACTGGGAGGTTTCTGGTGGAAATGGGGCAGTGGCAGGAGGGGACAGGTGAGGGCCGACCACATCCCTGCTGATCTTTGCTCTTCCCTTTGCTCCCTGCAGGGTCTGTCCAAGCTGAGGCAGATCCATCAGGATGTGATGGAGGAGGAAAGATGCTGAGGGGTTTCCTGAGCTGCTGCAGGCTTCAAACATCATTCCATGACTTGGATGGGAATGGGGGCCCCTGTCAGCAGGGACTGGGGCTCTGCAGGCACCTGCAGCAGGGGACAGCAGGGCTGCTCCTGGCCATCCCTGGAATGCCAGCAGCAGGAATTTCCATCTGCTATGAGGGGTGTGTTTTGCCTTTGTTTTCTGGAAAGATCGAGCCGGTGCTGAGGGCAAGAGAAAAGACTTGAGCTTGTTAATAACCACAGGATTTTGCTTTTTATCAGGTGCCACTTACTTGGTCTCAGAGGCAGTGGCCAACCTCTGGGTGCCCCAGCAGCCTGGCCAGGAGGGCAATCAGGGCGGCTGCCGTGATTAACAGCCCGCGGGCGTTGGTGGAGGGTGGGAGCAGCGATAGGGCAAAGGGGTGTCTGGAGCAGGAGCTGGGCACGGCTCTGGCTAAATACACCCTGCCTGGCACAGGAGCTGCCACGGAGCCACCGGCACCAGGGACCATGTGGGGGCTGGCGCTGGCCCTGCTCTGCCTCCCGCTCGGGGAGGGGACGCTCAGGTGGGTCCTGGGCAGGGGGGTGAGGGGCAGGGTCTCAGCACGGGGGGGGGCACAAAGGGATGGGGCCACTCGGGATCTCGCTGCCTCCTGCATCCCACAGGATCCCCCTGAGGAGGGGCAGGTCCATCCGGGAGGTGATGAGAGAGAAGGGGCTGCCAGAGGGTTTCCTGAACAACCTCAGAGGGGACCCGGGGAGGAAATACCAGCTCAGTGGTGCTGTGGCTTATGAACCTCTCATGAACTACCTGGATGTAAGTGCTAAAGCTTTTCCTGCCTCCTCTGAGCCACCCTCGGGTGTTTTTTGGGATGCCCTCCTGCTTTCCTGGCTGGCTGGGGGAAGCTCTGCAGTGGGGGCTTGGCTCCCTCCCCACTCCCCACCGAGGGGCTGTGCTGGGTGCAGGCAGGGGTTTTGCTGGGGTTTAGCCTGGCTCCAAGGGCTGGGTGATGCTGGGAGAGGAGGGCAGGAGGCACCAGTTCCTGAACTGGAACAGGGAAATGCCTTCTCAGGAAAAGCAGAGTTGATGGTTCTAGGGCAGAGCTACTGCTCCTGGCCTTGCTCCTCTGTGTCAAAGGCAAATCACTGTCCCACAAGGACCACGAGCCTTTCCTATGGCCCCACAGCAGTTTGGGTGTCTAGCAGGGGACACAGGGCTGAAAAATCATTGGAAAAACCAGGCAGAAACAGAAATCCACTCCCACTCTTGCTCACAGACCTTCTACTTTGGGGAGGTCAGCATCGGGACCCCTCCCCAGAATTTCCTGGTGATCTTCGACACCGGCTCTTCCAACCTGTGGGTTCCCTCCACCTACTGCCAGAGTCCAGCCTGTGGTGAGCACCCCTGGGGGACACAGCTGTGCCAAGGGGGCTGGAACCCCCCTCCTCAGTGCTCCCTGGAGCTGTGACAGGGAAACAGTGAGAGCTGGGGGGGTTTGGTGTCTGCTCCGCTCGGTGACACCGCGGGGCTGGGTTTGGACGGTCCCTTCCCTGCAAAGCCTCGTGCTGGGGCCCCTGTGGGGACAGGGGTGCTGAGGTGAGGGCAGGATGTGACCTGGGGGCTGTGACCTTCTCTCTGTGCAGAGGATCACACCAGGTTCAACCACAGCCTGTCGTCCACCTTCCTGGGCACCGACGTGACCTACACCCTGAGATACGGGTTCGGGGACCTGTCGGTGGTGCTGGGATATGACACGGTGACAGTAAGTGACTCCTGACCTGTTGGTGTGTGGCTGCATCAGGGTAAGAGGTGCCTGTGGTTACAATCAGTCTAATTTGCTTAAAAACTCGGGGAGTAGCTGAAAGTACCTTCTCATTCTGGGGGTTAGTTTAAGGTGTGTCAGCATGAATTTACTCCAACACTGGGATCTGCAAACAAACTCATCCCGAGTCCTCTGGGCTTTCCACCCCTGGTTTGGGATAAGGGATACCTTTGGCCACAAGAATTTGCTTTATATACATCTGAGCTTTGTCCTTACAGGACATAAGAGATGTGAAAATGTGATTTTAAATTCCTTTAAGAGGCCCTGGTTTTTAATTAATTTAAGAGGCAAAACCATTTAGTGAGTATTTTTATGAAATAATGAGTGATGAGACAAAGACTGTGAGTCAGGCTGCTCCCGACCCCATCGGCGATGGGGATGAGCTCAGCATCTCCCAGTGTAGATTTGCCTTTGTGACCAAACTTCCCTCTCCCTCTAGATCCAGAACATCATCATCAGGAACCAGGAGTTTGGCCTGAGCCTGTACGAGCCCAGCAGACCCTTTTACTACCTGGATTTTGATGGGATTTTGGGCATGGCTTACCCAGGCGTTGCCATCAGTGGTTTCAACACGCTGATGCAGAACATGCTGCAGCAGAACCAGCTCAGTGAACCCATCTTCAGCTTCTACTTCTCCCGGTGAGACCTCTGGCAGTGGGTCCCTCTTCCACGGGCGCAGCGTGGGTCCATCCTTTCCGGTATCCTCACCTTCTCCCCACTCACCTCTGTGCTCCAGCGCTTCCTGTGGATCATCCTACCTGATTTTGGGTCTCATTTTGTGTCTTTCCAGCAACCCAACATATAGTTACGGTGGGGAAGTCATCCTGGGGGGAGTTGACCCCCAGCTGTACTCCGGGGAGGTTTTATGGGCTCCTGTGGTCCAGGAATTGTACTGGAAGATCAGTATCGAGGAGTAAGTGCTGCCCCACAGCTCAGGGAGGGTCTTGGAGCGGGGCAGCCTTTTCTGATGCCTTTCCTGCTGGTTCTCCAGGTTCTCCATTGGGTATTCAGTCACCAGCTGGTGCAGCCAAGGCTGTCACGGCATTGTGGACACTGGGACATTCCTGCTGACCATCCCAGGGCAGTTCATGCCAGCCCTGCTGCAGGCGCTGGGCGCAGAGGAGAGCGACTACGGGGTAGGTGGGCAGGAGGCACCGGGTGATGCTGAGGGACAAGGACACACCCGGGAGCAAAACATCTCACCTGGAACAGCCCTGCAGTGCTGTGAAACGGAAATAATTCTTCCAAACGTGACAAGTGTGGGGCAGCACAAACCTGGCACCATCAGAGCTGTGCTGACCCTTAAGGAGTGTGGTCACCGGCATAAGGCCAGTGCCAGCCCGGGGGTCCTGACCCCTCTGCCCCTCTTTGCCTCTCTTGCAGTTCCTCGTTGACTGCAGCAGTGTCCCAAACATGCCCACCCTCTACTTTGCCATCAGTGGGGCCTGGTTGTCGCTGCCTCCCACTGTCTATGTCCTAGAGGTAGGTGGGATTTGACCATTCCCAACAGGTCTTTGCCATCCCAGGGCAGTTCTGCTCGGGAGAAAATCTGAGTTTCTTCTCAGGCACAGAGGCCTCCAGCACCCGATTCCATGGTGCTTTTGCTGCCTGTCAGGGATCCTGTTCCCAGCCAGAGCAGCTCCTCACTGGAGCTGAAATTTGCTCTTTTTCCCCCAACAGAACGATGGCATCTGCACCGTGGGGGTCGAGAGCACTTATGTGCCCTCTGCCAGTGGCCAGCCCCTCTGGATCCTCGGCAACCTCTTCCTCAGGCAGTATTACTCCATCTTTGACATGGCCAACAACAGAGTTGGCTTTGCCCTGGCAACTTAGGGATGCTGAGCATCACCCATGGCAGAATTTGTCCCTGGAACACCTTCTCCTCCTTTGGATCTGTGCGGGGTGATAAGTAGTGAATAAAGGGCTGCAAATCCAGCTGCCTCGTGTCTCCTCTGGCTGCAGCTGAGCAGGGGCTGGCACAGCTTTTCTTTTTTCAGGCACTTCCTGATGTGCTCGGAGACTTTGGATTGCAGCAATGACAAACTGGGGTTGTTTTTTTTTTTTAATGGGACCCGGATGCCTGCTGGGGCTGGCTGGGAAAACTGGGATGAGTGGGAGAATTTCAGGCTGCACCATGTGCTCAGCTCGAGAGACTCCAGGGCTGAGCTGCTGTGGTGGCTGGAGGCTTCAGGAACCAGTTTGGAGCAGGACGTGCAGAACAAGGAGCTGCGTGTGAACAGCTCCGGGTTCCTTCGGTTTGGGGGAATTGCCCACGTGTATTTGCAAATAAATTAGGGATTTAAAAGCGTCATGCAAGGGCGCTCATGATCCTTGTGCGAGGGGTTGCACAATCCTGGTGCGAGCAGCGACATGACCCCGGGGCTGCGCGGTCCCCGTGCCAGGGGATGCACGATACTCGTGCAAGGAACTGCACGATGCTGGTGCAAAGGGCTGCACGGCGCGGGCACAGCCCTGCCTTCACCCCGCTCCGGGGGTGGAAAACCCTATTTTTGGGGAGGAAAAAAAAAACAAACCCAAAACATTTTTAGGGAGGAGCCCTCCCATTCCGGGGAGGAAATCACCACCAACCCCGAACTGCCGCGGCGGCCCGGGCGGGGACTACAAGTCCCGGCAGGCGCGGGCGGCCCGGCCCCGGTGCGAACTGCAGCTCCCGGCGTGCCCGGGGCCGGCGGAGCGAGCGAGGGCAGCGGGGCGGGCGGAACGGGCCGCGCCGGGCCGGGCGGGCGCTGCTGCCCTCCCTCGGCACGGGGCCGAGCCGGGCCGGGCTGGGCTGAGCTCAACCGGGCCGAGCGCAGCCGGGCTGAGCCGGGCTGAGCCCGACTCCGCCGAACCGAGCCGGAGGGCCGAACCGAGCGGAGCCGAACCGAGCCGAGCTGAGCTGAGCCGAGCTGAGCTGAGCCGAGCCGAACCGAACCGGGCTGAGCGCAGCCGAACCACTTCGTTGCCTTCTCCGTCCTCCCCCCCGGGTGAGTGCAGGGGTGCGGGGTCCCGGGTGGTCCCGGGTGGTCCCGGGGAGGGGGTCGCTCGGCTGGGAGCCCACCTTGGTGCGGGGGTGTGGGGGGTGTTCGGGTGCCCCCCTTCTCCCCCCCGCCCCGCTCCTGCCCCATCCCGGCGCGCTTTGAACTCGTAGTTTCTTTTTTCCCCCTGTTTCGCGGTAAATAACACCGCCCCCCCCGCGCTCCCCGCGCCCCCGGCAGCGGCCCCCGCGCACGGGAGGCTCCAGCCCGGCCGGGGCCGCGGCTGCTCCCGGCGCTGCCGGGAGGGCTCGGGGGTCTCCGGCAGCTTGGCCGGGTGCCCCCTCCGACAGAATGAGGGTCCCGGGGGGCTGCGAGACCACCGGCAGCCCGAGGGGACCTGCCCCGGTCGCCTTTCCCGGCGGGACCACCCCCCGCACCCGGCACCCCACGCGTGGGGAAACCGAGGCACGGATGCTCCAGGACACCCGGGGTTCGCTGGGGGGGGGGGCCGTGCACCCCTCCACCCCCCCGGGTCAGGGCGCAAAAATCCCCCCGGTTTCGGGGACCGAGAGTGGGACCCGCCCTGTGAGTGTCCCCCCCCAAGCCCTGCTGCTTTTGGGGTCTGCAAAGGCTGGGAGGAGTGGGGGGTACCCCGTGTCACGCGGCTTTTAGGGGGTCACCAAGAAGACACCCCTCCCCGGGGAGTTTAGGGGGCATAGGAGGGGCTGCCCCGAACCTACGGCCGCCGATTAATGATATTCATGAATTAATTGCGAGGCAGGAAGGATTACGCCAGCCCCCCGTGTCCTCTGGAGCTTCAGCGAGTCAGATGATGGGGAAATTTCCTTAAAAAAAAAACCAAACCAACCAAACAGAACGACAGAGAAAATCTGGTGGTTATTGTGCTCTTCTAAGATAAATAAATAAGCCGGTGCGAGTCCGGGGAAAGCAGGGCCCGTTTCCAGGAATCCCGGTGCTCCTGCGCATTCCCGGCCCTTGGGGCACGGGGGAGTTTGTGTTTTTTATATAACAGGGAGTCCGGCAGCAGCGGAGAGGGGGACCGGCGGGGTATTTTTTCTTTCCCCCCCTCCTCTGTACTTCCCTGCCATGTTTGCTTGGCTTCATGCACGGCTGCTCTGGCCGGAGCAGGGAATGGGGCTGGTTCCTCCCGGCTGCGGGTGCCGAGCCTGCCCTTACCTGCCGCCGGGGGATCCGGCAGGGAAAACCGTGCTGGGACCGGTGGGAATTGGGGATTGGGCGGCCGGAGTCGGGAAACCGCCGGATTTGGGCTATCGGGGTGGGTGTGGTGGCGGGTCACAGCAGCACGTGCTGACCCCGCCGGGCCTGGAGGGGAGCCGGGTGTTTTCCGAGGGATGCTGGGTTTGCTTCCTGAGGGATTCTGGGTTTGCTTCCCGAGGGATGCTGGCCGCGTGTGTTTTCCATGGGATGCCGGCCTGGCCGCCCGCCCTTATCAGTAGGAAACCGCTCCGGGGTGGAGCTGGAGCTGGCTGCGGCGGGGCGATCCAGCATCCGGGTGTTTGGGATGGAGCTGTGATTCCAGCCAGCTCTTTTATTGCTTTTTCCACGCTCCGTGGCGCCGAGTTTATGGCACGTGTGTTCCTGGTCCCCCCTGCCCCGGCACCGCCTGTGCCGAGGTGAGGGTGCCCCGGTTGCCGGATTTTGGCAGTGCCGTGGGGAACGGGAAGAGCCCCGTGGGACAAAATGATGAATCATCGGAGCAGGGGGGACATTCCCAGGGCCGAGGGTGGGGTGGCTGGAGCAGCACAACCCCACAGGGAAAAAACAGCCCTGCAGGGAAACGGGGCTGGGGAGGCCATGCCGGGGGCGTCCCCCTAAAAAGCCACAAGTGCTGAGGGTAGAAACACCCTCGTGGGTCTTCCCACAACATGGGGTGCGGGAGGGGGGAGCTGGAGGCTTAATGTGATGGCACAGCAGGGATCTCATCCCTGGAGTGCTGTTTCTCCTTTCCTGAGGTGCAGACAGCTGATGGGGAGGGACGGAGCTGGCACATCCCTGTCACCTCTGTGCTCCATCCCTGGGGACAGCTGGAGTTTGTGGGTGGGTTTTTGGGGGCACCTTGAGCTGCACTTGCCCAAAGGGAGCCATTTTGTAACTCCCCTGCATGGGGTTATCCCTCTTCCCACACAAAGAGGAAGTGGCATCACCTCCATGAGCCAGGATGGCACCACTTGGGCCCTTCTGAGCCGCTGTGTGGGCCCAGGGCAGAGGTGGATGGGATGCAGCGATTCCCGGGGCGAGCCGTGGGGTTCGTCACTGGAGGGCTGAAAGGGAAGGTCCCTTCCTGAGCACACAGGAAGCACCTGCTCATCTTTTCATTCCCCCACTGGTACGTACGTGAGGAGCCCCAGTGGTTCCCCCCAGTTCAGTCCAAGGTCGTGCCCCTCCACCTGGGGCTTGGCTTTCGGTCGGAGCAGGTTTTCCATGTGGATTCCCATGCACGGGGTCCCATGCCATGGTCAGCCCAGGAATCCGGGAAGCTGAGCCCTGTGCTCCAGGATGAGGTCCGTGTCCTTCTCCTCACCTTCCAGGAAGACCCATGAGTTGGCTGGAGGTGAAGGCAATGCTTTGCTGAGGAAACAGGGAGTGGGGGATTCTCCCTTCCTGGAGGCACGGGGGTGGTTTGGGAGGTGGTTTGGGGAGGTAGGTTCTCCAGGGCTGGAGGAGGAGCATGGGATGAGCACTGTGGGATGCCCAAGGGATTTACAGTGGGTAGTGGGTGGGTTGTCCTAGATGGGCTCACCCGGGGAAGGTTCAAGGTCTTTCAGTGCCACATCCCCACGGTCCTACAGCCTTTCCAAGGAGGTTGTGCCACGTTAAAGTCTCTTCTAAGAATTGCTCCTGGGGTTTTGTCACCTTTCCTACAAGCGCATTCAGCTCCAAACAAACTCCCCACGCCCTGCGCTCTGCTTAAATCCCCTCTAGTTAAATGGGTGCAACTTTCTTTCCGGATAAACCTGAAATGCCCAGCGTGGGGACGGGCAGGGGAGTTTTGGGAGCCTCAGGGACCAGCAAGGGCAGCAGTGCTGGCTCTTTGCCAGGCTGTGTCCTCGGGATTTTGGTGGAATCGCGTTGGGTAGGGAATTTTGAGGATGAAATGAAGAGGGGGCTGCAGCCACCCGGCACACAGGGAGCTTTTCCCTGCTCCTGGATCGCACACCCCAGGGGAGGAGGGAGCTGGTGCCAGCAGGCTTGGCTACAGCTCCTGCCTTATCTGCAGCAGGGTGGGTGCCACGCTCAGCCCCGGCCCTGCGGCTCCTCGGGGAATGCTCCAGGCTCGGGGCAGGCGAAGGGCTCGCCTGGAGAAATCCCAGCCTGGTGGGAAGAACCTCCGGGCTCCTCCGTGGTCCAACCGGCACAGCGTGTGCCGGGGAGGCGGCAGCGCCCGTGGCCAGGGCCCGACCCGGCTGCAGCAGCACCGTGCCAGGGCAGGGGCTGGATTGGCAGCGGGGGCTCCCCAGAGGCCAGTTTGACCTTCACGGAGCAGGAAAGCGCCAGGCTGAGCCGGGGGGAAGGAGGGAAGAGCAGGAGCCTCTCCTCAGTGGGTAAGCGGCGGTGGCCGGGCGCTCCCCGGGCACGGGGGTGCTGTGGGGTGGGATGGCAGCAGGATGAGCCCTGGGGAGGTTTGGGAGGGCAAGTCATGGGCTGTCTCCAACTTGTTTATTCTTGGGGAATGGGAACAGCTGTGTCTCCCATGGCTGGGGCTGCCGGGCACGGTCCGGTTACATGAGCTCTGCCTCCGCCGAGCCTCTGGGCCGGGCCTCGGGGGCTGGACACGGCGTATTTATAAATATTACCTCCTTCCAGCAGCACGGGGCTCGCAGGGAGGGAGGGAGGAGGGATGGAGGCGGCGCTAGGAGTGCCTCTGGCACTGGGGGGGGCACGGGGTGGCCACTGTCACCTTGCACCTTGTGCTCGTGGCAAGTGGCACAGTGAACTTGGGGCACGTGGAGCTCAAGGGCTGCTTTGGCTGAGCACCCCAACTCGCCAGGATGGTTTCTAGGATTTTGGGATGTGTGGTGGCTCTAAATCCCAGCGCTGTGGTGGATTATCTGCCCTGCTGGATCCAAGCTGGGGGCCGGGATGTGCTGTCCTGCCAGTTCCCCTTATTGCTCATTTATGCGGTTATTTAAAAAAGCCAACACCCAAATTGCCTGGAGTCACCCCAAATTGGGGCAGGACGGGGTTTGCTTTGGGGCCCCACTCCTGGGTGTCTCCTTTGCTGAGGTGAGCAGGACGTGGAGCGGGATTGAGAGTGGGATGTGGAGCCTTTCTGTCCCCACCAGCCCCTCCAAGGTCACCCCGCTCCCCTCCTGCCTCCCCTGAAGGCGGGCGTGATATGGGGCTGATTAATCACCGAGCCCGGGGTGGTGAAGCTGCCGCTGGCTCAGCCCCGTCCTCCTGCCTCTTCACACTTTTATTTTTGATTGCTGCTGTTGGGGGGGCAGGAGGGGGGCCAGGGGCTGCCGACAGGGGCTGTGAATTCCCCGGGTGGTCATTTGGACAGTGATGTTTCAATCAGGGCTCCTGCTCTGCTCCAGCCGCTCTGTGGGAAGGGGTTTTGCTCCGGTTTGGAGGCAGGAACTGGCCCCACCGTGGTGGGGTCCCAGGGGTCCCCCTGCCTCTCCCAGCCCTGGACCTGGCCCATGGGTGCCAGTCTCCATCTGCTGTGTCTAACTGGTGTGTTGGTCTTCGTGCCATCCCTCAGCTGTGCCACGCTGGGCAGAGGGGCTTTTTGGGGTGAAAAAGAAGCTTTTTGGGGTGAAGAAGAAACACTGGAGCAAGGCTGTGTATTATTAACCCCATAACTGCTGCCACTCACAGGTGGGCTCTCGTGGACATACCTTGGCACCACCAGAACCAGGGGGCTTTTTATGGACCCCATTTATTGAGCCCTGGGAGTGACACTGTGACAAGGGACGCTCAGCCCTGTCTGATACCCAGGGTTTCTCTCCACTGGGTCCCTGCCACCTCCCCGGTGGGTCAGGCACTCTGGGGAGCCCTGTAGCTGGGGTTGTGCTGCCTTGCAGCCCGGTGTTAATGTTTTTCCTGCGCCGGATCCCTGGGCCGCTTCCAGGCGCGGTGTTTAGCGCAGGGCAGGGAAAACATTTGGCCTCTGACCCGAGGCCTGTTAACAGCGTCGCGGGCCACGTTTCTGAGATGCCGCGGCTAAAAACGGTGCCGGTGACTCAGTCCCTCGCTGGTGCTGTCAACTGACCCCGGCCGGTCTTTGCCAAGTCCCTCCGCCCGCTCCTTCTCCCTTTCAGGGCTGCGTGACCCCCGGGCGGGGAAGGAGCCTCCGGGCAGGGCTGGAGTGGCCGTGCCCATCCACCTGCCCGACACATCTCCTGCCCGCTGGGTGGGTGATGGGGAGGGCGCTGTTGCTCTCTGGGGTTGGAAATGGGGCTTTGCCCCTGCTTTCCCACCTCCCCATCCTCACCCCAGAGGGACATAGGCTGGGTGAGACCTCTGGAGCTTCTGGTGTAGACTCGGGCATGGCTAATGTTGGTGCTGGATCAGGGTCTCCAAGGATGGAGGTTGCCTTCCTTACTGCCAGACTTCCCTCCCTGTGGGGAGGAATCCCGTCCTAACACTGCAGGGCAGACCCTGTCCTGCTGCCCCTTCCTGGGGCTGCTCACCCTCCTTATTCTGATGGAGGTGGCCTGATTACTCACTCCTGTGCTGCAGTGAGAAAAACAAGCAGGTTTGGAGGTTTTTTGCAACTTCCCCCCCTGCACCCCGCGTGGCTGCTGCCACGTTAAAACCAGGGGCCTGAAAATGAGGAACACAGAGCACGGAGGAGTCCTGACCTGCTGGCCCTGGCACTGGAGGGTCCCCCAGCCCAGGTAACCCCTGCCCTGTCGTCCCCCTTCCCACACAGTGGGGTGGCAGCAGAGCCCATCCCCGGGCCGTGGGCACCTGTGGGGTGGCTTTGTGGATGCCCAGTGGGGTGGCAGCTCAGTGACGTTGGAGCGGATGCTCCTTGATCTGGAGCAAACACCACTGGGCTTGTGGCTACCTGGACCCAGCCAGCTGTGCCTGCCTGGGCTGGGTTACCCCCGGGCTCCCTCACTTGCCACCCTCGTGTCTCTCCCCACCCCCCTGGCATTTGAAAACAAAAAACGAGGAAGGAAGGAAGGGAAGGCTCAGCCGGCACCCGCTGCCAGTAGCGAGAAGCGAAGCTGTTTTCACTTCTTTCTTCTCTCTTTCCTTTTTGCTGCCCCTCAGTTACCAGCCCGGAGCGGGGGTGGGTGGGCGGATGGCCCTGGCCCCCCTCCTTCCCCGGGGGTCCCACTCCCGCCTGGAGCTGCCGATTGATTTTTCCGCTCATAAAACGGCCGCGATCGACCGGGAAATAAACACAGGCGGGCGCGGGGCTGGGCAGCGGCGCCGCCTGCACCGAGTTTGGGGGTTCTCAGCCGAGTGGGGCACCGCTCCCTCCGTTCAGAGGGGTGGGCAGTTGTGTGGCATTTGCAGGGGGGGCACCGCGGGTGCCACCTCCCCATGGCCACCCTGGGGGGGGTAACCTGATCCCTGCACTCTGCAGGGGCTAAATCTGGAAACTGCCTCAGGGCAGCTTTGATTTCTGACCCACGCCTGGGCAGGAGCCCCCGGGGGTGCTCTGGGGCCTGGGCGCGTGGCTCCAGGTGTTGTGTCCCCTCAGGTGTCTCTGGGTGCCCCCGGCTCCTCTGGGCAGCGGGTCTGTCGCCAGCCTGGCCCCTCACGTTGCGGAGCAGCAGCCGATGGAGCTCCAGCACGTCCGGCGGTTGCTGAGCAGCCGACCCCGTGCCACTGGCTGTCACTGCAGGGATGAGGGACAGCTCGGGGCTCTGTGAAGTCCTGAAGGGGATTAGGGAGGGTTGGGGCAGCTCTGGGTGCCACTGGGGATCCTCCGGCTGGAGCCACCCCCGAGTGCCATCCTGGCATGTTGGGTTCTTGATGAAATAACACCCCCCAGAGGGAAAGCAAGAAAGGTCCAGAAATAACCACGCTGCTAAGTAGCAGCAGAGATGTTTGGAAGGGAGATGCGTTCCCTGGCAGTGGGTCTGGCGGGTGGTGATGGAACACGGCTGGAGCCTGGACAGCCCTGTGTTCTGTGTCCCCCCCAGAGAGGAAAAGAGGAGTTGGGGTGTGGAGAGAGATCGTGACCTTTTTCCTCCTCCCTCCAGCTTCCCATCCCTCAGCCCCTCTTCTGCCTCTCCATCCCCCCTTCCTGTTGCTCAATCACCCACCCTGGGCCTCCCGCTGTCCTGCCTCCCTGTGAACCAGGATGAACCCTTGCTGGGCTCTCCTCCCAGTAGAGACCAGTCTGGGGCTCCCACTGGTGCAGGGACGGCTCTGGCTCAGTGGGAGAACCACAGGGCACCTTCCCAGGAATAACAGGTATCCTGGATGGAGCTGCCATCCCATGTGCTCTATGTCTGTGCCCCTGGATGGTGGGATGTGTCTCCAGGGTGGGATGTGTCCCCCAGGGTGGGGTGCCTGCACAGTGACAGCCGGGTCCCCATCCTGTCCCGCCAGGGCTGACTCAGAGCGAAAGCAGAAGCTGCTCCGTGTTTCGGGGGGTGGGGGGGAAGCCAAGCAGAACCAAGGGGGTTATTTTAAACCTGACCTAATTTCCCCCCTCTCATTATCAGGCCTGGCTCTGGCCACCCTTCCCCATCCTCATCCTGGGAGAGAGGGGATGCTTTTGATGCCCCCTACCCCTATTTTCTCTAAGGGGGTCTCACAGCCAGACGGGGCAGTGGGATGGGGGCCAGTGGGGGTGAGTGGGTGCTGTGTTGTGGGTGGCTACACCCTGGCACCCTTCACGTGACACCCTCTGCGGGCTGTCCCTGGTGTCACTGGGGTCTTTTCCATGGACCTCTGCTGTTTCCCATCTCAAACAGCCCCCTGTCCCCTCCTCTAAGGCCATTTGCAACATCAGCCTTAATGAAGCTCCAGTGGATAACTGTCCTAGGCTCTCGGCTCCCATCCCCCTTCGGACGGGCCACCATGGCTAATTAATTCCCTTCCCCTTGCCGGTCAATAGCTGCTCTTGAGCTGTGTAATCGTATTGCTGTCCGTGCTGCCTTGATTTAATTTCCCCCCAGGACAGCGCGTGGCACCGCGTCCCAGGACCAGTGTTTTGTGTCTGCCCTGGCCCCTCAGTCTGCCATCACACCTTGTATTTAAATAGCAAAGCCCCCCGGATTTGTCTGGTGATGCCCCCGGGTGTTCTGTTCCCCTGGCAGCTTTGCTTCGGGTCCTGTGCTCTGCTTCCCTCCCACCCCGCAGACGCAGATCCGGACCCCCCATCCTGTGCGGCACCTCCCGCATCCCGGCCCCGCGTGGGAAAGGCGCCCGTGGAAAGCTGCCGCGGTGGGTCGGCTCGGGCAGCTCCCCGTGCCCCGGCATCCTCTCGCCCTCCGCGGGCGCCGTCCCCTTTGTACGGGGGAACAAGGGCCGGTCTGTGCGGGGCGGGGGCCTCGCCCGCTCCCCCCGCCCCCGCGCTCGCGTGCGGGCCCCGCACAGAGCCCGCCTTGTTCATCCCACCCCGGAGCGCGGCTGTGGGACAGCCTGGGCTGGGGTTAAACCTGCCTCCGGCTCCTGGCACCCGCCGGCCTTTTCTTCCTGCTCTTGCCTTGCTTTCTCTTTCCCTTTCGCTCCCTGGCTCTGGGTTTTCCCGTCGTTCCGGTGTTTGGGAAGTTGGCGGCTCAAAGCGCTCTCCAGCCGCGGTATGTGAGTCCACGCTCACCGGGCACGGGGTCCTGGCTGCTCCCTGTCCCCCTCGGGGTCCCTGGCTGTCCCTGGGGACAGCGGTGGTGTGGTGGGAGGCTGCAGCAGGAGGACAGACCCATCCAGCTGGCGTCGGGGCGTCCGTCCCGGATCAGGGCCGGTGCGGGTTCTCCGGGGTGTCTGCTCCCTCCCTGGGGCTCAGTTTGCCTCCTGCACAATAGGCTGCTGGTGACGTGCCGTGTCCCCCTGTCAGGGTGAGCTCCGTGCCCGGTGGGTGCCCGCGTGTCCCCCCAGCACCATGGCGTCGCGCATCGGGCTGCGCATGGAGCTGATGAAGCAGCAGGCGCAGCAGGAAGCGGAGCGGGAGCGGGTGCAGCAGCAGATGATGATGAACTACATGCAGCAGCAGAGGATGCCCGTGGCCTCCACCCCGGCCATCAACACCCCCGTTCACTTCCAGTCCCCGCCACCAGTGCCCGGAGAGGTCCTCAAGGTACCGTGCTGGGGGTGTCCCCCCTGCCCAGCCATGGGGGAGCCCGCGGGGGTCCCTCACGGTTCGTCTCCTCGCAGGTCCAGTCCTACCTGGAAAACCCCACCACGTACCACCTGCAGAAGTCACGGGACAAGAAGGTTCAGGCTTATCTCTCTGAAACCTACGGGAACAAGTTCGCTGCCCACGTCAGCCCCGCCAGCCACTCTCCCAAGCCGCCCCCCGCCGCGTCCCCCGGCGTCCGGCCCGGCCACGTCCTGTCCTCCTCGGCGGGCAACAGCGCTCCCAACAGCCCCATGGCCATGCTCAACATCGGCTCCAACCCCGAGCGGGAGGTGAGGGGGTGTCACCGCGCAGCTGGGGGGGCACAGGGTGCTGGCAGGGGCAGGGAAGCCCATTGGCACCTGTGCTTTCCCTTTCAGTTCGATGAGGTCATCGATGACATCATGCGCCTGGATGACGTTCTGGGCTACATGAACCCCGAAGTCCACATGCCCAACACGGTAAGTGGGGGGTGATAGGAACGGGTCAGACCCGGGGCTGAGGGAGGGAGGGGGTTCTGGGGGCCCCACAGCCCTGTGCTTGCCAGGGACAGAGGTGGCACAGAGGGGACATTCCTCCACATGTAGGGTGCCAGCCCAAGCCAGCCCCATCCTTGCAGGCAGCAATGTCTCCCTTTTTCCAAGAGAGCCAGTTCTCCAGCTTCTTTCCCTCTAATGACAGTTGGGAATCCTTTTAAAAAGTCAGAGAGGCGGGAGAGGGGCGTGGGGAGGGACCCAGTGTCCACTGCAGCATGGGGGGATGTGAGTGCTGGGAGTAGTTTCCCAGCAAGAAGCTCCCTCAGAGCCTCCCCGTCTCCTGGGTCAGATCCTTATGGCAGCTTGTGCCTCCCAGTGGGATTCATCCTGTCGAGCCCTTCTCGGATGTGATTCATCTGCCCTATTTTAGATGTTGGCCGTGGGAGGGGATCAGCTGTGCCCTTTGAAGTCCTGTTTTCTTTGCTGCTCTGATTATTGCTGCTTTAAGGGCCATGGGAAGACAATTCCACCTGCCTGGGCTACGCACTCCCATCCCAGAGGCCGAGGGGCTGGGCTTGATCCCGATCCCCGTCCTGGATGGAGCCAACCCACCTGTCCCTCTGCTTTTCAGCTGCCCATGTCCAGCAGTCACATGAATGTCTATAGTGGGGACCCCCAGGTGACAGCCTCGCTCGTCGGTGTCACCAGCAGCTCCTGCCCTGCTGACCTCACCCAGAAGAGGGAACTCACAGGTACGTCCCCAGAGCTGGGGTGGTGACAGCGAGTGCCAAAACTGGCCGGGGCTGCTCTGTCCCCATGGGCAGGGAGGGTGGCTCTGGGGAGTCCTGGGGGGCTCTGATGCCAGCCTGGGATGCTGGTGGGGTGAGGCACAGCCTTGTCCCCTCTGGGTGACGTTGTGGGTCTCCTGCAGATGCCGAGAGCCGAGCCCTGGCCAAGGAGCGCCAGAAGAAAGACAATCACAACCTGAGTGAGTTCAGTGCTGGCTCTCCCTGTCCTGACCCCAGAGCCCTTTCTCCATCACTCTTCATCCTCATTCCTCCTTTCTCTGAGCTGTCTCCCTTCCCATCCTACCTCACTGTCAGGAGAGACCCCCAGACCCTGCATGGCTCCCTCTTTCCTGACTCTCCAAAATGCAGTGCAGGAAACACCCCGTTGTCCTTCTGGGGGAAGGTCAGACCTGCTGGGCCATGGCTGGTGTTTGGCTCCAGAGGTTTCTCATCCCGAGCCCCCCAGCTCCAGAGGCACTGGGGCACAGTGGTGGCTCCCACCCCCATGAGCTGGGAGCAGCAGCGTGGCTGGGGGGGGTGTGGGATGTGGAGCCTCCCCTGCTCCTGCTGCCCCCTCATTTCCATGCCTCTCTTCTCACCTGCAGTTGAGAGACGGCGAAGGTTCAACATCAACGACCGCATCAAAGAGCTGGGGATGCTGATCCCCAAGGCCAACGACCTGTATGTACCCGTGGCTCCTGCAGGGGGGGATGACTGTGGGTCCTGGGGGCTTGCTCAGCACACGGGGGTACCTGCAGAGGGGCTTTCGGTGCAGCAGGGGTGAGGGGACACATTGCTGGCACACAGGCCCATCTCTTTTTCCACCCTGGATGGCAGGGATGTGCGCTGGAACAAAGGGACAATCCTGAAGGCGTCTGTGGACTACATCAAGAGGATGCAGAAGGACTTGCAGAGGTCACGAGACCTGGAGAATCACTCGCGGCGCCTGGAGATGACGAACAAGCAGCTGCTGCTCCGCATCCAGGTGAGTTTCCCTGCACTCCTCCCTTCCTCTGCTCAGCTCCAGCCCCATGAGCAGCTCACTCCTGCCCTGCTAAGGGGACAGGCAGGGGCTCTCATCCCTCTTCTGGCTGGTAAGTCCTCAGGAACAAAGTCTCGGACAAACTTGATGTCTGAGGCTCAGGTCGCTGCACCCTGTTGAGTTTGGCATGGGTCACCCATTTTCCATCTTCCACCTCTCCCAGGGGCTCCTTCTCTGTGGGCTCAGTCCCTCTGTCCCTGCCACCTCCATAAATGTCCGTGTGTCCCCGTGTGTGACATCCCACCAAAGCCCTGCTGTGTCCCGTTGCAGGAGCTGGAGATGCAGGCACGTGTCCATGGGCTGCCCACCTCCTCGCCCTCGGGCGTCAACGTGGCCGAGCTGGCTCAGCAGGTGGTCAAGCAGGAGGCCAGCGGGGACGAGGGGACGCTGGAGCCACTGCTGCCACCCCCGGACCCCGAATCGCAGCCGCAGCCGGCGCTGCCCCCGCCGCCCCAGTCTCCCTTCCACCAGCTGGACTTTACCCACAGCCTGAGCTTCGACGACGGCTCCCAGGGCTTCCCGGACAGCCTGGAGCCTGGACACAGCGCTTCCTTCCCATCCCTATCCAAGAAGGAGCTGGACTTGATGCTGATGCAGGACACGATGCTGCCCCTGGCCTCTGACCCCTTGTTCTCGGCCATGTCCCCGGAGGCCTCCAAGGCCAGCAGTCGCCGGAGCAGCTTCAGCATGGAGGACACAGACATGCTGTGATGAGGAGCTGCTGCGAGGACTGGCCCGTCAAGTTTGGGGTGTGAAGTCACAGGACACGCCTGGCAGGAGGAGCCCGTCCTGCCACGCACTTGAATCTCCCCAGGAGTACCTTTCTCTATGCAACGGGGGCTCGGGTCGTGCCCGCCGGGTGCCACCGTGTCTTTCTCAGCTTGTTTTTGCCAGGGGCCTGGACCTTCCTGGCTTGCCGTGGCATTGGCCTGACTGCAGATTCCACGGCCTGGGAGCGTGGTGTCGGCTGCTTTGCCTTTCAGCGAAACCCTCCCGGCCCGACCCCCTTCCCCAGGGTGCCTCTGGGAGCCCCCAGCCCCTGGGAGCAGAGGGACGATGCTCCGAGCTTTGTGTCTGGCTTTGCTGCCTCCTCGCCCCGCTCCGGGAGCCCCCGTTCCCAAGGAGTCTGTCCAGTGTGGTGTCCGAGCCCCCGATGCCTCACGGTGCCACATCCCTTGCGGTTCCTCCTTCCTCCGAGCCACCTCTTGGGGTCACAGGGCTGGGGGCAGATCAGGGGCTTCAATTAGTTGGAGCACATTAATTAACGTGGCACCGGGGTGTTGTCTGAGTGAGATGGGCCTGAGGCTACAACTTCAGGTGGGTGTTGAAGGCATCCAGAACAGCTGGGATGGGGTGTTGGATGCTCCACCAACCCCCTGCTGTGACCCCACCTTGTGGGGGGACCCCAGCTCGGGGTTAGGCAGCACCCACCACCCCAGAACCTCGCTGGCCTCTGGACAAGGGCTGGACACGGTGTCAGGTGACCTCCAGCCTCCCTTGAGATGCCCCCAGAGAGGTGCCTCTGCCCTGTGACACGGAGCCCTGGCTCTTTGCTGGAAGCATAGAGGGGTTTCACACTGTTTTGGGGATACCTGTTGAAGGTCCTGCCCCATGTGGGCACAAAGGTCTGGGCTGTGACCAGGGAATGGTTTGTACCAGTTGCCAAACTGAGCTGCTGCTCTCTCTGCCTTGGACTCGGGGGGTTGTTTCTCTTCCAAGTGTCACCAGCTCGTTCCCCAGCCGGGATGGCTCCGTGCTGGGGATCTGCTTTGGGCTCTGCCTCTTCTGCCTTCCCAGCCTGGGAGGTGGCTGGCAGGGAGCTGGGAAGGGCAGGGGGACACTGTTCACAGGGAAAATACTGCATGGATTTATTCAGGGAGAGGAGGGAAGGCGGGGGAGAGGAGACCCCCTTGGCAACCATCACCCTCTGGGCCGTGGGTGCCCTCGGGGATGGGGCTCCCTGAGTGCCCCCCATCCTGGACCAGGGATGGGGGATGTGTGGGGTCAGGAAAGCCCAGCCAGGGTGGGACAAACATGCCCCATCGTGGCTGGGTTTGGAATTGGAAGTGGGGGACAGCCACAGTGCCCCCCTGGAGAGGTGCCTGTGGGGTGTGAGGGTGTGGGGAAGTGCAGAAGGAGGGGAGGAGAGGGGGAAGGAAGAGGGAGGAGGTGTTGGAGTGGCCCTGGAGCACTGGGACAGGGCAGGGGCCAGGAAGGAGGGTGCTGGCCGAGGGGCTCTTGGTTTGAGGAGCTGTTGGGTTTGGGGGTGTTCACAGGAGGCCTTGGCACCCTCTGTGTGCTGCCGTTAGTGCCTGTAAAGAGAATTATCCCCTGGCAGGGTGACAGCACCCGGCGCTGTGCTGGCTCCCTGGGGATGGGGGATCCCTGGATCTGTGGATCCCAGAGGGGCTGCGTGGCTGCCTCAGGGCAGGCCTATGAAATCCCGTAGGAAATTGGGATTGTGGTGGCTTTAGGGTGGTTCTGTTGGGCCCTCGGGCACCGACAGGACTCAACCAGAGCACGAGATGTGGCGTCTCCCCAGCCGTGAGTAAACAGTTGTGGATTATAATTATTATTATTTTTTTTTTAATCTTTTGGGGGTTTTGTTTGTTTTTCTCTTTTTTTTTTTTTTTTAATGCACTGTGCTCTGATTAAAAAATTTTACTACTGTTTTATAAATAAATGTATAAAAGAATGAACTGGAATGGAAGAAGAATCATTAAAATATATTTATTTACAACACCCTGGAGCATTGCAGTTTCTTCTTGTCCCAGGAGCTCACCTGTGTTTCCTACCTGTTGGGTGGCCTCTGGAGCAGGAGTGGGGGCTTTTCCCGCTGCTGGGGCTGGATTAGCATCACCCCTGGGAAAAATCTGCTTACAGAGTGTCCTGCTGAGCCCATGCCTGGCAAAACTCATCCCACGCCACATCTGCAGCCACGTGCCAGGTTCCCACTGCCCCCCGTCACTCCCCCTCTGTGATGGTGTTAAACACACACACAAGGGAAAAAAAGAAAGCAAATCCACCTTAAAATAGACTTCCCAGGATGGAAAATCACAGGGGCTAATCTTGGAAACTTTATTAAAAGAAGAAGGAGGGGAAAAAAGAGCGAGAGGAGTCCGAGGGGGGAGAGGAGGAGCGAGTGGTTCCAGACACTTTAGAGAAAAAATAAAAAAAAATCCCTGATTTGATTTATCTGGGGAGTGTGAACACTAAATAGAGAACAACGCCTGAAGTGTGAATTATTTCCTATATTAACACAGAGAAAAACTGATAGCCTTTTCATGTCAGGAGAATAGTGTGGAGGGAGGGAGGGGAGCGAATGACATTGTTCCATCTCCGGGTTTGCTCACTCTTTATCAGGCTGAGATCAAAATTTATTCCCAGGATGAGGCCTGCGGCCCGGCTGAGGCCCTAGAGATTTTTAAGGGCCTAATTAAGAAAACAGGATGAAAATGGCGAAATAAGAGGGCAATTTACTTCTTGCAGAATAGGGAGATCAAATCAACTTATGAGCAATTAATGTGCACAAGGAGAGAATAAAGGGATGCCGGGATATGGAAGAGGGCCTCATTTTAATGACATGCTCTGGTGTTGGCATAGAGGATTACTCTGAAGGTCAGATGTAGATTGAAACGACCTTGCAGATTCTTAACCCTCCTTCCAATTAACAGAACCAACTCAGAAATGCAAAAGACCCTGGCTCGGAGCACTGTCATCCCTTTATGTTCCGAAGGGAGGGGGAAAAATAAAATTACAAAGGAGAGAGAGGACGAAAGGGGGTTTCCTTGGCTTCCACAGCAGCTGCGGAGACGGGAGCTGGGGCAGGCGGGAGAGGAGGCTCTTAATTACAGTCTGAGAGCCACCCACGGAAAAAACGGTGTCAGGGCTCCGAGCGGGATATAAAAGGGAGGCAGCACCGGCTGGGGCTGTGGCGGGTGTGATGAGCTGTGGCAGGGCTCTGCCCGTGGGGATGGGATGGGATGGGATGGGATGGGATGGGATGGGACGGGACGGGACGGGATGGGATGGCATGGGATGGGATGGATGGATGGATGGATGGATGGATGGATGGATGGATGGATGGGTGCACAGAGCCGTGGGATGGGGAGCAGACGGGTGTCACCACACCGGGGTTGGGGCTGCACCCGGGGGGTCCTCGCCTCTGTCCCCCCACCCCTGCCGGGCTCTCCCAGTGGGATCGCTGGTCCCAGGCTGCCTGTGGCGCTTTTTCCCGATGTTGTGGCTGTTCCCACGGGGAGGAGGAAGGAGGGAGCGACCGGGAGGGTGGAGGCGTCGCGCGTGGCCGTGGCACCCGGGACGGGATAACCGGGATGGGATAACTGGGATGGGGTAACTGGGATGGAACAGCCGGGATGGGATAACCGGGATGGGATAACTGGGATGGAACAGCCGGGATGGGATAACCGGGATGGGTCGGGGTGGGAGCGGCGAGGCTGCACCGGGGCTGAGCAGCCACAAGAGAGAGCCAGACGGTTGCGGAGGAGCCGGGGCTCCGGCCGGGAGCCCGCCCGGCAGGACGCGCATCCCGGAGCCCGGGGCGGGTGTCTGGGAGCGGGAGCGCCCCGGGGCTCGGGGTGTGAGCGGGACACGACCCGGCGATTTGGGCTTCCAGCCCAAAATCCACCGTGCCCCGGGCTGCAGACCCGGCTGTGGGGGCAACAGGGTCGGGGCAGGTTCTCCCTCTCTGCCCCACTCAGGTGAGACCCCACCTGCCTCCAGCGCTGCCTCCAGCTGCCGGGAATCAACATCAGAAGGACCTGGAGCTGCTGGAGTGAGTCCAGAGGAGACCACGGAGGTGCTCCAGGGGCTGGAGCCAGGCTGGGAGAGCTGGGGGCGTTCACCTGGGGAAGGGAAGGGTCCAGGGAGACCCAAGAGCCCCTTCCACACCAGGAGAGCTGGAGAGGGGCTTGGGACAAGGGTTGCAGGGACAGGACAAGAGGAAATGGTTTAGATGGGATATTGGGAAGAAATTTCTCCCTGTGAGGGTGGGGAGGCCCTGGCACAGGTTGCCCAGAGAAACTGTGGCTGCCCCATCCCTGGAAGTGTCCAAGGCCGGGTTGGATGGGACTTGGAGCAACCAGGATAGTGGAAGGTGTCCCTGCCCGTGGCAGGGGGTGGGACTGGGTGAGCTTTAAGGAGCCTTCCAACCCATAACATTTTAGGATTCTAAGTGGGAATTACCCCACACAGAACCCAGGTCTCCCCAGTGGGTGATGCTGGAATTTGCCTGTTCCTGTGAGCTCGGTGTGCTGTGCTGGAGCTGACACCCTCTGGGAGCAGGAGCAGTGGGTACCATGCTCTGGGGGTTAGAACCACATCCCCTTGGACTGCTCCATGGGACAGGTCTGAGGGCTGGGTTTGGTTCTGGTGTTTTATGGTCAGATTGGATTTGTCTGAAAGCAGAGATCTGTGTGAAGAGAGCTGGGAGTTCCCAGCACTGGCCTTTGGACACATCTCCAACCCCCTCAGAAATGCCAAGTTGTTTCTCAAATCCCAGAGAATTTTCTACAAAAAAATTTTCCTGGGGAGGGGAAAAAACCTTCAAGGAAACAGAATATGGGCTTGATGCTGCAGGAAGAAAGAATGAGCACAAGCCAATCAGCACCTCTGGAGAGAGATGCTTGGCCAAGCAAGGCAGCTCTGCCCCGAAAACTGGAGCAGAAGAGCAGTGGAGAGCAGCAAGAGGAGTGGGAAGCTCGAGGCGCTTACCCTGCTTCATCCCAAACCTCACTGAATCATTCCCACGTGGCTCCATGGCATCCCTGGCACGGGGCAGAGCAGGACCTGGGATCTGGAAGGCATTCCCTGCCTCAGTGATGGATCTGGAAGGCATTCCCTGCCTCAGTGATGGGCTCTTGCTGAGTTTTCCTTCTCCCCCCGTGTCCCTTCATTTCCTTCCTGGCTCTGTCCGAGCCCTCTCTGTGGTTTGAGCACTTCAGCTGCTCCTGCTGCTCCTTCCCCACCTGAAGCCCAAACCCTTTGCCCTGCCGTCTCTCCGGGGGTTGTTGTGGCAACGGCTGGGATGAGGTCAGGGGGAAGGGATGGCTTTTTCAGGTGGGGGAACAGCCACACGTCCGCCTTGGCTTCCAGAAACCAAAACAGCTCCCTGCAAATAAATCTTTGCATGCAATAAAGAGGGAGAGACCAGAAAACCTCTGATGCCTGTCCAGAAATTTCTTCCAAAGAAAAGGGTCTCGGCTGGTCCCTGGGTGAGTCGCTGGCTCGGGAAGGTCACTCCCTGGATGTGTTTGGCCTGTTGTTTTTCCATCAGCAGCTTTTTAAGGCTGTGGGGCTGGGGAGCCCCTTGGACTGTGAGTGGAGCTCTCATGGTTTGATGGCTGTGAGGATTCCTGGAAGTGGCTGTGTGCTGTAAACCAAAGGGCTGAAGGGTTGGTGGAGTTCTGAAGAGGGCTGTGGATGTGCTGGAAAAAAGCTCTGGGAAGAGGAAAATGAGGTGCAGGTAGAATGTTGGTGCCTCAGTTTCCTCAGCAGCCGGGTGAGGATGCAGAGGCTGCTCTGGGGAAGGGACCTGGCCCTGGCCTGAGCCCCTGTGGTGCAGGTGGCAGCTCGTGTGGAGCAGTGATGCCAGAGCAGCCCCTTTCCCGTGGGATGAAAACTTCCCAGGCTCAACCCCCAGGGAGTAAACCCCCATTTCCCAGCTGGCTGTGCACAGCCCTGGCTCAGGTTTGGCTCAGACAAGCTGGGGCACTGGGAGAGTTTGAGTTCTGCCTCCTGGGTAGATCAGCAGGAGTTTGCACTCCCGAGTCTCCTCTGGAGCCAAATGGCCCAGCTCCACTGGCCCTGGCAGGGCTGGGATGTCTGCCAGGGTGAGCTTTGGCCCAGGACACCCAATGGACTCGACAGTCTACCTGGATTTTCCATGCTGGAGCTGGATTTACAGAGCTGGATGCTGCAGCAGCTGCTGCCTGGGCACTCCAGTGTGGTCGTGCTGAGCTGGGAGCAGCAGAGCCCTGTCCCTGCCTCCAGCACAGGGCACCTGGAATGCACCCTGGGGTGCTGGGACCCCGAGGAGGGCTAGGCTGAGGGGAGCTGTGCCTTGATTGTCTCGATGTTTACAAATCCTGTTGGAAAGCCAACCCTCCTGAGCCACGTG